TATTTTTATATGTATTTTTTAAAATTTCTCGTACAAGACACTGAAACACACAGGAGACAGAAATCAGTCATGCTGAGCCTGGTACTTCAGACCCCTAGAGAACAGCACTGAGGCTGAGATCTGGCTGGGACAGTCCTGGGTGACATGTCCTGCTGGTTTCACTGGGGCAGTAACTCACAGAATTTGTAGGCTTGGAAGGGAGCTCTGGAGGTCACCCAGTCCAAGCCCTGCCCAGGCAGGGTCACCTGGAGCAGGTGACACAGGAACATGTCCAGGTGGGTTTGGAATGTCCCAGAGAGGGAGATTCCACAGCCTCCCTGGGCATCAGCTCCAGGGCTCTGCCCCCTCCAGGAAAACAAATTCTTCCTCATGTTGGGGTGAATTTTGTTGTATTTTAGCTTATGGCCATTGCTCTTTGTCCTGCTGCTGGGCATCACTTGAAAGTTTTGCCCCATCCTCTTACACCCAGTTTTGAGATATTTCTATGCATTGATGAGATGCCCTCTCAGTTTTCTCTTTGGGCCAGCCAGGTCCAGCTCCCAGCAGACCAGAGGTGCTCCAGACCCCAAATCCTCTCTGTGCCCTCCACAGGATCCTCTCCAGCGGCTCCGTGTGGAAACTTAACAGCTGCACTGCAGACAACCAGCGCTAACTCCGGTGCCGCTACCCCTCCCTGGTAACTCGGATCTTTTCTGCCCTTTCACAGAACCCAAGAATGGCTCAGCCTGGAGGGGCCCACAGGGGCTGCTGTGGTGGCACCTCCCTGCTCCAGCAGGGCCATCCCAGAGCCTAGGGCACAGCAGTGTGTCCGTGTGGCTCTGCAGTGTCCCCAGGCAGGAGCCTGCACAGCCTCTGTGCCCCATCTGCTCAGGGCTGGGCACTGCCAGGGCAGGAGCTCTGGGCACGGGCAGGGGCAGCTCCTGGGCTCAGGCCCTGCCCGTGGCTGTGGGGCCATGGCTGGGCCCGCAGCAGAGCCTGGCTCCATCTTTCCAGCACACCCCTTTATACATTCATATACATACAGAGAGATATACATAATATCAATATTTAGAATAAACATATTTATATATTATATACTTATACAACAAACATTGTACAAATAATTTATATATCTTATATAAAAATGTACATAAGTACCTACGTATATACTTTTATGTATCTCCATCCCCCTTTGTGTATACACTTAAGATTATGTATGCATATATATATGTATTCCCCTAAATATATCCTGTTAATTTATTGCATATCTACTGTCCGTGTGCCGGCAGAGCCCTCACGGCCCCGGCGGTCGGACACAGCTCCTGCTCCCCGCGGGCCAGTCCCCGGCGCGGCGCCGAGCGGGCCCGTGCCCTCCGCGGGCCGCCGGAGGCGCGACCCCGCTCCCCGCTCGGTCGGAGCCGGTCCGTGCCGGGCGGTGCCGGTCCGTGCCCGCCCGCGGTACCTGAGCTGGCGGTCGTAGCGCTGCTCCTTGAGGCCGGCCCGGCCCGGCCGCGCCATGGCCGCTGCTCCCGCTGCGCACGCGCGGGGCGGGTCCTGCCGTGCCCTGCCCTGAGGAGCGGCCCCGGCTGCGGTGCCCAGCCCGGGCCATGCGCTGATTCCGGCCGCGTCTCTGTCTCCCTCAGCCCTGCTGGCAGCAGCACTGCACTGCTGAAGGTTCGAAGCCGGCAATGTCGGTAGCACCTGGATCTCCCCTCTCACTCGCACCCCCACCCTATGTGCACCAACGCCGCCCTCGCCCTTCGCTGTGCCGCTCCTGGGGACCCCTCCGCACTGTTTGCCGGCACATGAGGCCTCAGAGAGAACTGCATTAAACACGGCTTTCTCCACATCAAATCATTTCGCCCTAATAATAGTCACAATAGGAGTAAACTTGCCCCCATCAGCTTTCTTCCTCATCTCAACCCACCCCTTCTTTAAAGCAATGCTACTCCTCTGCTCAGAGTCCGTTATCCACAGCCTGAACAGTAAACAAGAAAAATAGGAGGACAATAAAAAACACTTCCAACAGCTACCCCTTGCCTAACCACTGGCAATCCAGCCCTCATGGGAGCCCCATGCTAGCAGGATTCCACTCAAAAGAGCTCATGGAGAGTTTAATCACATCCTACCTATGCCTTGGCACTACTTGTAAAATGTGGAGTATGTAAAATTTTGTTAAGAAAATGTTCTTTGCTGACTGATCTTTGTAACTTGCAAACCTAATCAACAGGGAGGGAGATTTAATCTGTTAAACAGAGCAGCCAACAAGCTCTAAGTGATGTGCAGCTGTTGGAAACACAAATTCCTGGTCAACAGCATTGCCTTGTTAAGGTTTGGGGCTGGGCATGTTCCGATGATCTCAGCCCGGCAGGAGAAGTAACAGAGATCAGAAGGATTTCCACTGATACACGAGAAATGCAGAATTCAGCAGCCACGAGGACAAGGAACAAAGCAAGGCCACTCAGTAACTGTGTGGAATCAGCTCTGAGCGGGTAAAGGAGAATTTCGGCTAAGGCTGGTTCCAAGGAAAAGCCATGGTGGAAGCCATGTTGTGGCAGTTTTCTGTTCCCCTTGGGACGCCTTTTGCAGCTGCAGTGTGCCTGGAGCTCTGGGCTTTGTGGTTTCAAAAGCTTAACCCTAGGCAGTAAAGAGTGCTTTAGGCTAAGACTGGTTCCGTGGAAAAAGCTGTGGTGGAAGCCGTGTTGTGGCAGTTTTGCAGGGGCAGGTCAGGAGCTCCAACTCCTGGAGCGGCCCACAGGAAAGCAGCGAGCCAAAGGCGGAGAAAGGGAGAGTGTGGCAGTGATTAGCAGGCGATGCAAGACACTCATTAACCAATAGAAGAGAGAATCCTAATAAATAAGAGAACTATGTAACCTGTAGCCAATGGACACTCATGTCTTTGTTTGCTAAAATATATAAATAAGGGGAAAGTACAGATAGTTGGGACAAGTTGGGCTGCCTGATTTGTGGGACACCACCGAACACGAGGCTTGGCAAATCTGAAATAGACAATCGATGTCTCTCTCAAGTGTGTATTTGCTGGCTGTTGCACTGTAATGGATCCAACTTATCTGGACAACAGTGCCATTACCAGAATTTATGATCAAAAGGGGCATTTCTCTGCATCTCTCGATGCACTTTCTGTATGGACTATTGAGGCATTTTCAGGCAGACTGAGGCAGAAGCCCTGAAGGTACTGCAGTCAGGAAAATCCGGTAGGATGTATTTTGTAGATATGTTGCACACTATTGCAGCTATTCCTGCTTAGTATGGAGACAAGAACATATGAAATCTGTTGTGCTTATGTGCTTCTGTTATGAAGATCTTCCCATATAGGATCAACATTGGTTGGACTTTGACAGTGCATAACAAAAGAGAATATTTCAACACCTTAACAGATTTCAACCAACATTTCTGGCACTAAGTTTCAACAACAAAAGAGAGGTCCTGAAATACCTGCATTGTTCACACTGATTTGTTAGTCCATATAAAAAGTCCATTATTCTTTTAATCTGCTTCTCTTCAATAACTTTAGTTTTCTGTATATCTGCTGGAATGATGTACACAGGAGTACATTATTAGATGGAGTGGTTTACATCTTTCAGGTGATGTACTACAAAACAGGGCTTCCTCTTTTGTTTTTCTTACACAACATCTCCAGCAAAGTTCATTTTTCAGGCTTTGTCTTTGCTGTGCCACAGTAAATACTTCCTTTTGCTGTCATTTCAGTGACCATTGCTGGATTTCAGGAAAATTCTGTTTCCCAAAATCAAAAGAAGTCTCCTGTTCTTGCTCTCTGCTACACTGCTTAATCTGGACAAACCATAAATTGCAAGAATTAATATTTCAGGCTTAGTTCCAGAATGCAGTTCCCATACCTAGTATAAGGCAACCAAGTGTGTATAGCTTTAAAAGTCAAAAATAAGTAATAAAAAATGGTGTATGAAGGCTGGGAAAGCCCTAGAGAACCAGGTGCCTCATTCCCCTTTTTCTGCCCCACTTTCCCAAGTGTTCCTACTAAATTCCTTCTATCCCCTTGACCATCTTGGCCTGTGTTTGATACAAGCTTATTCTCTTGCATAGTTGTCTGTTAACTATATGCATGTCCTTTTTGTCTTTTTCTTGTTAATCCCTTCACTTTGGCACATTTTTTTTGTTTTCCCCCAGTGCCAGGAGGAGATTCCCAGTTGAGTTTTTGCCTTAGAAATCTCATGACTCTCAGAAATCTCTGTAAGTTGTGGGGAAGGATGACCACTTTCAGCTCCTGAAGTTCCACTGGCTGCATGAGAATCTCAATATATCAATGTACATGTATATGCATATGACCTCAATGTATCAATACACGTATATATGTATATAATGTCAATATGTCAATGTATATACAAAAGCCATCACCTTTTTGTGTTTGCAGGGAAGAACTTGAGAATTTTAAAGTTAAAATTTCTGTGATTGACCAAGAACTGTAGGCAGTCTGTTTTAAAATAAAATACTAAAAAATACAAAAAGTATCTGGAATTATTGTGCTTTTTAGTGTTCAGTTCTGCTTATATTTACTGTGTGGAGTATTTTTGTGCAGCTCCTGGGTTTGTTGAACTGCCTTTAGCACACATGTAAAGAACAGATGCCAGCTCAGAGTAACCCCCTGTGGGAGCTGCCAGCATCTGTGGTGGCAATGTGAGAGGAGAGAGGAGCTGCCTGGATAAACAGATACTCTGTCAAGAGGCACAGACAGGCTCTGGAGTGATGAATGTTTTATTTAACATTTCATCTGCTCCTTCCCATGGTACGTGAGCGGCTCGGAGTGTGCAGCCTGCACCCAGACTGGTGGGATTTCTAACCTGGTTTTGTTGGCATGCAGTGACATGGGGTGCCTTAAAGAAGGGACATAACACCTTGTTTAAATATGTCACCATTATTAATGTCAGCAGATGTAATTGCCAATTTACCTAATACACTTAGAGTGCCATTGAGCCATTCACCTTGGAACCAAATAATTCTTACTTCATCTTACATACCTTAAAATGCAGCTCTGCCCCTCCACAGTGATGCAGTAATATTTATCAGAAGCATTATCCTCAAGTGACACCTCCATGTGCAACAACCTCCCAACAATTCCAGACCTGTAGTATTATAGAGGCATTTTACCTTAGAGATTAAAATCCCCAATTTCCTCAAAACTGCAAAACTTAAATATGTCCAATTCAGCATTCCAATCTTACTTGAAGTTTTCTAACCATAATATACAGTCCTTATATATATAGCAATTATATAGCAATTTAATAAAGGGAGCTCCAATTAAATAATAAAGAAAATTAATTCTATATATAAAGGTGGGGAACCTGCAGCATTCGTTGTTAGTTCTGTATCACAACCTGGTGACAGGTTCAGAAGACGCCCTGTATTTGTCCTGGGCTGCTGCTCTGTTCTCATCACTGCTGGCAAAGGGGAATAAAGCACTAAGTAAGAAGGCTGGGGAAGACAGATTTCTGTTTTAAGGCAGCTTGGAACATCCCACTGTAGTGAATGGAATTACGTCTTCCCATCACTCACTGTGAAGCAGACACTTCTGACATGGCGTGAAGATCCCAGGAGAAATTTGTGGAAATCATGTCACTTTTAGCTCAGCTTTGGAGAAATCCACACCTTGAGGACCTACCACTCTGTTGTTCTCACTTTCCATAAGTTCACGAGAGTGATGTAATTGTCCTGGATTCAAACTAGTAAAACAGAACAGAATTACATGATGACTGCAGTTTTTGAAGTGATAAATGATAATCTGAGGACAGAATCAGTAAAACCCATTACTAGAGTCAGCCAATATCCAGGGGTATCAGGGTTACAGAAAAACGTGATATTTGTATAAGCAACACTGTTACCTTATATTAAAGGAAAATTTAATATTTTCCTCATAAAGAAAGAAGGCTGGCTGGGTTGGAAGCTCATAAAGTTGTCACTTACACATTGACTATCATTAATAATGATACATTTTACAAGCTAAAGTTTTATTCAGGCTCTCTTCCCTTCCCCCCCAGGTATTATCATTCCCCCTTTCCACTTTTGCTAAATACATCCATCCATTTAAACCTCCATTTTGTGGAGTCTGTTTCCTGCCATGTCTTCAGGATATTTTCACTTGTCTCAAAGCTCTTCCTGTGCCCTGTGTTTGTAATGCAGATCTGCAGAGACCTGTGTGGGTTTGAGTCAGAAGATAAAAGCTGAAGGGTCGATGGTGCCCAGTGCAAGTTGGCACTGCAGTGCCCTGTGGGCTCACCTGAGCCCAGTTGTGATGTTTCTCTTGAAAACAGCTGCTCAGCATTTTCTGCCTTGGATGTGGGCTTCCACAGCTTATGCTCTGTTCTTTTAACACACAAAAATCCCTCTTCCATTTCTTTTCACTGCTGTGTTGGTATTTTTTGTACTTTTCCCTAGACCCGCTTTCCTGACTCTGCATCTGAGTATTTTAAGGTTCCAATTCCAGTGTTGGGTGCCCACAAGGGGCTGTGTGCCCAGACTGTTGGGACACAGCTGTGCCCAGAGTCTGTGCCAGGGACCTGAGCAGGTCACAGCAGCTTGACAGGAACAAACTGGGGAGCTCCAATTAAATAAGGCATTGTAGAGCTCTCCTGTGGAGACCTTTGCAGCAGTTTACATCCCTCTGTGAGTGATTTAGCTGGCATCAGCAACTCTTAAAGGTTTTATAGCTGACTATCATGGAAACCTCCTGAAAAAAAAAATAATACTTACAAGGCAGTACCACAACATAAAAGTTGCATAAAATGCTCTTATTGATTTATTCCTTCCATATTCTTGATTGCATAATAAAAGAATTCCTATTTTTGTGTGCTACTGTCTTTGTGAAAATCAATGTGTTTGTAAAATGTATCCTTGACAGAGAGCATTTCCTCAGAGCTAACAAAATTACAATGAAGGAGCCCCGAGATGTCTTCAGACATTTTACAGCTGCAGATTGGGTGTCTCATTGTAGCCTCTGCATGGGTTTAGCTGGGTACAGGCAACTGCTGGATCATTCCAGGTAACTGAGGCTTCACAGATCAACTCCTTTCTCTGGAGTCTGCTATGTTCTGTCCCTAATGTAACCACACTTTTAATTTTGTCCATTTAAAATGTTTCTTTAAAGTTGCAAAATTAAAATCAGTTTTTCAATTTGTCCTTACTTTGATTTGTACTTTGTTTAAAAGCAGCACAAGAAGTTTTTTTCCAAGATGAGGATGTTCTCCATCTCATCTAAGCACCAGTTGTGATTAATTACAGATCTGGTCAAAACACCATTCCTTTTTTGCAGCTGGCAGCAGGGTTTCAGAAGAGAGGCAGTGATGTTTCCCCCTGAGGAACACAGAAGTGAGAAGGGCCGGTCCCACCTGCACACGACTGTCCTGATGCTCAGAGCCCCTTATGGCTTTTCCTTCATTGGGGCAGAGAATGAGAAAACACTCATGTTTCTTCTAAATTTGATCCACAGTTTGGTTTTCTCTCTAAGTCCTGAGACTTCAGTTATCTGAATTTTACATTTTCCTTCACCCGTGCTGCCTTAGCAAATAGGGGGAGCAGGAGCAGAGCAGGAGCAGCAGGGCTGGAGCAGGAGAACACGGGTGCTTTCCCTGTCCTGCAGGAATTGCTTTGGCTGCTCTGTATCTTTAAGGGGCTGACCCTATCCCACGGGGAGCCGCTATAAAGGCAGGTAGGCAGCAGTGCCCTGCTCAGGGAGCTGGAGCCAAGCAGGGGCAGCTCCCAAAATGACTGGCCACCACAGTTGGGGATATGGGCAGGCTGACGGTAGGTTATGGCATTTCCGTGCTGCATCTCTCTGTCTTCCCCCACTCGTTTTCTTTCTAGAGCTGTTGCCTGAGCCCTGCAGAGCTGCCTGCATTTTGATGTCTGCAAGAATCAAGTATATACAGCAGGTAATTAATTACTTTATTGATAATCAATAGCACCCAGAAAGTAGCACCAAAAGGTGTGCAAGTTTACATCTGCTGCCTTTCAGTGTTGCAATCAACATTCCTAAACTGAGGGAAGCAGTTTGAGTGATTTGGGGTTTTTTCAGACTGCAGATATTACAGATGGGTCCCTTTCCAAAATGCTGTTATAAAAAAGATTACCTGTGTCTCTCTCCAAAAGCAATTCTGTTAGGCGAAGAAGATTTAGTAGAGCAGTAATAGATCTCCTGGTTCTGTGCAGTTGCTGAAATGTGATATCTAGGCTTTCATAAAAGTGAATAAAATAAGCTCTATGTTATGTATGTCTAGTACATCAATAAATCGTACAGACCAGTATCAGATCTCTTACAGAACAAGTTATGCTTTCTGATTTGACAGTTTTTAATTTAGTCCTCCTCCTTTGCTTCCCACCTCCACGGCTGCGTGTCACAGCGCAGGGGGGCCGTGGAGCTCCTGAAGGATTGCCACGGGAGTGTCGTGTAGTGCCTGGATCCTTCACAGACAGGGTGGATGAGAGCCTGATGCTGGCCAATGACACAATTGCATAACTTGCTGGAGTCTCTCTCCTTGCAGCAATTATTTTAGCTGCCGAGTGTCCAACAAGAGTCTTTTGTATAACCTTGAGGGGCCAGTCTCTTTCTTAACAGCAATTCCTTTAGTTTCTGTGAGTCTGAGAGCACAGCTGAATACCAAGTGAAGCTGGTTAGTGCTAGTAAGTAACATTATGTAGTTGTGCTTGTAGCTAGGAGTAATAGAGCCCTGGGTACTCTGATGAAGCTTGTGAGAGCCAAATGATATTGCCTTAGCTTGTGTAAGAGCATTTAATTCCTAGATCTGCTTTCTATGCAGGATGAGAAAAGATAATTTTATAAGCTTAGCAGAAAGTGTCAAAGCCAAGCAACAGTGTAATAGATCACTGTTGTGTTATGTAAACTCAAGGACGCTAAATACCTGTGCTTGATTTTAAAAAAAGCTTCCCCTTGTGAAAGTAAGTGAGAATGCTGCAATGAAAAATGTGCTTCTTGAGAATCCTGAAGTACAATTGCTGTTGTTACGCTTCATGCATAGAAGCAGCAGAGGAATTTAATTGCTGCTTTCACTACCCTAGCAAAGTAGAAAATGAGCCATAAGAAACAGGAATTCTTAGATATGGATAAGCTTTTGTTATCTTAAATGGCTTTAGAATCTTTCAGCTCTGGCAGCAGAGTTCTGCTATTAAATTGGGCCTTTTCCCCTCTCTATTGAGGTCAGGAAGTCCCAAAATGTTAATTATCATCCTGTATCCTTCACTCAGGTTAGAGAGCTACCATAAGGGGCATGAGTGAAGAATGGAGCTGTCTCAAAGATTTACTGCAGTCATAAAATTATTTTAAAAATAACTGCATAGTCAGTAGCTAAGAGATTGAGTCATCTGCATCTAATTTGAATTGCTGGAGCTTTTACACTCTCTTTCCCAGGGAGAATTAAATGCTTTTTCTTTGGGGAGTGTGTTTGTGCATGCAGATGTTTACACCTGTACCTACCTTGGAACACCTTATCAAGGTAACTGCAGCCTCTGCAGAGAGAGTAGCACAAGTGACTGGGGGTACAGCAGTCTCTGCCATGATCTCCTCAGTGTGTTCTGGACAAAATATTTGAATCCCCATCTTGTTGCAGCCTGCTTGTGCTAATAAAACCACACTGGCCTAGAATTTAAATTAATTTCTCACATTCCAAACATTGGAGTCACTCTTGCTGAGCAAGCTTTATTTCAAGCCTCCTGCAAACCCATAATGACCGTTCTGTGCGTGGTGGGAAGGAAATAACGCTGCTTTCCTTGGCTTGCTGTTGCAGGCCCTTCTGAGTGGCACAAAGCTTACCCCATTGCCCAGGGGAACCGGCAGTCCCCCATCGACATCGACTCTGCGCGGGCCGTGTACGACCCCAGCCTGCAGCCCCTCGTCATCTCCTACGAGTGCTGCGCCTCCCTCAGCATCGCCAACACCGGCCACTCCGTCATGGTGGAGTTTGAGGACACTGACGACAGGACAGGTGAGACTGACACAGCCAGCTATCTCAGAACACAGCTTGGGACTCAGTGGGGGAGCTAATTAAGCACATTCTGCACGGAGTAACTGCTATGATGTTTAATTTCAGCTTAGAACAAGGCATGTGACTGGAGCTGTTTATACTTTGTCTTCACTTGGAGCCTCTCTAGCGATGCAATATCACAGATCAATAAGTGTTTCTTCATTAGGAAAAGCTCTTGCCTCATGAAAATGAGAAGTTTGATTGCAGTCCTTTTCTTTTAGATGAGCATTGAAGTTTGCTGGGCATCTCTCCAGCACTGCCAGACCACATCCAGCACCCAAAGCAGGGATGTAAGCTCCTCTTGTGATCACCCCAATCAAAGATGCCAACTCATGTGCCAGCTCTGGCTCAGTGCCCGGCTCCCACCCACGGGGAAGGGAAGAGGATGATAAGCAGAGCTGGTTCATGCAGCACAGTCATCATAATCATAATCACTGCACCAATTTGTACCTGGACAAGTTGCTGCTACCTTGCATTTTCTTTTCTCCTCCCTGACTTGTAGCACTTTGGTTTCTTCAGAAATTAGAAAATCATCAGCTCATTCTGAGTTGGTAGCAGCCAACTTTGGATATTGGACTGTCTGCAGTTGTACATTATTCTTGTCTCAGCCCTTGGCAGAGAATGTAAATTCTTTAAGTGATTGATTTCTTCTGTTAGGTCTGTTTCCATGGTAGACTGTGCTTTTACATCTGGGGGTAGGGGAAGAGCATTCAAATGGAGATAATAAAGCAGCTGATAAATGGGAAGAGTGCATTAAAAAAAAAAAAAACACAAAAAGAACTGGAACAATTTGTAAGCCTATCAGCTGATTTCATATTCCTTTTGGGTGTGCTGATTGATGCAAGCTAAACAGGATACCTTGATTTTGAAAACAAATTGCTTTTTCTGTGAAGTGGCTTGTCTGCCCTTCTAAATAAGGCCAAGAGGTTAATATTCCAGACATCTTATTTTAAAATTTCTCTTCTGGAATGAATTTAAGAACCTGCCCAATGGGGTGGTCAAGTTTTTAAGCATCTTATCTTTACTGAATTTGCAAACTGGGTGAGCATTTTTCACTTTCACTGCACAGATCTGTTCAGAATAACACCTTATAAATAGAATTTGTAAAGCCTTTCTGGAAGTATTATCTTAGCTTGGTAACTACTTTAATGCAATTTTCAGCTGAACTGTGTCTGTGTAACAGTGAACTTTATTCAGCCTTAGAAGTTAAGGGCATGTATTACTCTGCACTTAGTGACACAGACTCAGAGCACCTGCCAGGAATGAGACCCTTCTACACTAAGCATGTCTTGTTTCAGTAACACTTTTCCAAGGAAGATGACTTCTAGGAGTGGGAAACATGGTTTAAACTGCTTTTAGTTGTGTTGAAATAGATCTAGTGACTCAAAGCTCTGCATAAATGACACAACAGAATTTTGACAGTAATCCATAATAGCTAAATTTCTTAAAATATTAGGGACAGGTGATGCATTCTTTTGCTAACTTTAGAAAAATGTACTAGGAGTATTTATATCTTTAATTAATATTAAAACCTTTGCTTTGGCAAGGCCAGTTTTCTGCTTAAAGGCCAGCTGGAAGCATGCACATGGGTAGCACCATGCAAGTCCCATTTTTCACTCTTTAAATAAAATGTTCTGAACTGCACTGAGGATGCAAGCTTTACAGATATTAAATGCAATTTTAGTTTTCTTAACGTGAGACTCTGATCAGGTCTTGAGGTCTGTTGGACAAAGTGAGATTTGGTGGCATATAAAATTACAGGGATTACTGATGCTGTGATAAAATATCTTCTATAGGTGGCATCTTAAACATTTGTCTGTGCTTAGGTGTTATTTCTAAATGATGTATGAAGTGTCTGTGTGGCATTTCCTTACCTTTAGAAGGTGATTTGAGGTTGAGTGGTATCATGTGAAGTACCAGCTATTATATTTCCTCTTTTATGGGATCAGGTATTTAAAGGAAATGGAATATAGATAACCTCCGCTGAACGTAAAGATACTGTAAGAAGGAAATACTTATCTGAATTGTCCAGCTGATGTTCAGGGTGTAAGGTTTCCTTGTAGCCTTCTCCTGTGTAGGTGAACAGTCCCAGCTGTGCCAGCCTTTCCTCCCAGCAGAGCTGCTCCATCCCTCTGCTCATCCTGGTGCCTCCTCTGGGCTCTCTGCAGCAGCTCCAGGTCCTGGCTGTGCTGGGCCCAGGGCTGGGGCAGCTCTGCAGGTGGGGTCTCACCTGAGGGGCAGAATCCCCTCCCTGCTGCCCACGCTGGGCTCAGCCCAGGGCAGGGGGTTCAGGGCTGGGGCAGGGCCAGCTCTCACCCACAGCACACCCAGGTCCCTCTCCAGGGCTGCTCCACCCGTTCCACTTGCATTTATTGTGTTTACCAGGAAAGGTGTAACCATAAGGGTGGTCACAACATCTTCATGTGTCAGGCTCTTTCAAGAAAGCTAAAAATTCTGTACAGGTAGCCACACAGTGGTTTTAACTTACATTTTTTCAAATGAGTTTTGATGCTCTCCATTAATAAATCCATCCCTCTTAAATGCCTGGATGATGAATCTTTTGCATGCTGGCAGCTTGGAGAGGCTACTGCCTTTTTTCCAGTATTGTGCCAACAGTGGTTAGTTTTACTAGTAGGAAGCTAAAAGGCCAGAATGCTTAAGCTTTCTTCTCCTGTTTTTTATTTCTTGTTTTGTTCTTCTGCCCAGCAATCAGTGGAGGGCCCTTTCAGAATCCCTTCCGGCTAAAGCAGTTCCACTTCCACTGGGGCACCACTCACAGCCAGGGATCAGAGCACACCATTGATGGAAAACCTTTTCCCTCTGAGGTAAGCATGTGTTTTCACAGATGGGATTATTTCATGTAAATGATGGCTTTGTCTGCAGTGGGGGCAGGATTAGGATTCTGATTCCTTGCTCACCATAGGTAGATCAGCCATCCCTGCCCTCCTCAGCTGGATGGGGAGAGGAGAGATAAGGAAAGGCTGTGAGTCGGGATAAGGGCAGGGAGAGCTCCCTCACCAGTTACTGACACAGCAAAACAAAAAAAATCTATTAACAACCAAATCAGAGTAGGATAATGGCAAATAAAAGCTAAATCTTAAAACAGCTCCTCCTCAGCCCTCCTTTCTTCCTGTGTTTAACTTTACTCCCAGCTTTCTCCCCCTCTGCCCTGAGTGGTGCAGGGGGATGGGGAATGGGGGCTGTGCTCAGCTGATCCCAGGCTGTCTCTGCTACTCCTCCCTCCTCAGGGCAAGGGCTCCTCACATCTTCCTGTGCTGCAGAGTGGGGTCCCTCCCACAGGGGACAGTGAGCTCCTTGAGCTTCTGCAGCCTGAGAGCTTCCCTTGGGCTGCATCCTGCAGGAGCTACTCCAGCCTGGTCCCTTCCCATGGGAGCAGTCAGTCCTTCAGGAGCTGCTCCAGCCTGGTCCTTCCCATGGGTGCAGTCAGTCCTGCAGGAGCTGCTCCAGCCTGGTCCCTTCCTTGTGATCACGAGCTGGGGAAGCTTCTGGCAGTTTCTCACAGGAGCCACCCCTGTATCCTCCCACTCCCAAAGCCTGGCCATGCCACCCCCGTGTGGGCTGTCACAGAAAACTTGCCGGGTTCCTGCCCACACTCATGGACCTGTCCAAAGGATTGAACTTCATGTTTCCAGCAATGCCTTTGGCACAAAACTGTGCTGTTATGAACAACTGTTTGTGCTATCAATGAGAAACCACATTGATAACTTCGATCACTAATTTAATTCTTATTTGTTATTTTTCTTTGAAGCTCCACTTAGTACATTGGAATGCCAGAAAATATGCAACATTTGGAGAGGCAGCAGCAGCTCCAGATGGCTTGGCAGTAGTTGGTGTTTTCTTGGAGGTAAGAATTGCAAAAATAGCATGTTTACATGATAAAAAGCATTATGCTGTAAAGTGTTTGAGGACTATGCCACATATTTAAGAAGTGCTTAAGGAAAACAGATGACTTACTGGAAGCATTAATGCATTGAAAATTGCTGAAAACTTTGGTAGGAATGTTAAGATTTGAGTAAGAAAGCAACCCCTAATTAAAGCATGGTTGCAGTCCTTCTTATTTATCCTGTCTACTCCACTCTTTTAGATTGGAAAAGAACATGCCAGTATGAACAGACTCACTGATGCTTTGTACATGGTAAAATTCAAAGTAAGTTCTAAGCTCTTTAAATTTGCTTCTGGGATATCCTTTAAAAATCATGCTCATGTACATCTTTGAGACAAAAATGAAAAATCACCTGCCCACAAATTCTCCCATAACTAGAACATAACTGTAGTTGTAGCTTCTTTTTCCTCTCCAGAGTTCATATTATTTTCCAAATCTCAGGTGCATCACAAGGCCATGCTGAGCCCACTGGTCATCCAGAGGTTCTGCCTTTCCCAAAAAGTCTAAAATCCACAGCTCCCTGACCCTTGAGACTCAGCTCTTAGACTCAGCAAAATAATCCTTCTCCACTGAGCCTCAGCTGGCACAAGTGCAAGCTGCCTGTTTGTCTTTGCTGCAGAGCTCTGTCAGGGATGATCTCACTGAGGTGCAGAGTTTGTTCCTGAGTGACTGAGACCCTTTTGGGTGCTCCTTCAGCCTGAAGAATGTTGCTCTAGACTGTGGTACTTAAGGCAGTCACTGCTTTAGGCAGCACCCCCTTCTATTTCTACCAATCTTTTGGTTGATGTATCTTCCTCTATCAATCCACCTTCCTCTAATTTTAGTCATGAAGGTTTGATTTATTGTTTT